CATAAACAAGATTGGGGGCACTTGGCTTAATAGGTGAAAGCAATTAACATTTGAATTTTATGAGAAGACTAAAGCATTTCATCCTCCCTTTTGAAGCAAAAGAGGAGGGGAAGTGTTTGAGATTTTTCTTGAAGTGATTAATTGCAGAAGGTGATTTGTAATTGGAATATAAAGCATTTCATCCTCCCTTTTATTCTTTTTTTTTTTTTTTTTGGGGGAGGGGGAGGGGTTCATTTTAGTTTATTGCAGTGATGTAATTGGAATATAAATTGTACATTTAAATATTCTTAAATGCGATGGAAGATTACTTGAAAAATTATTTAGGCTAACATTATAGCACATTCTGTGATGCGATACATGTAAAATAATAAAAAGGTGATTGAATATGATGCAGATAAAATAGTCTAGTGTATTTGGATAGAAACTTATTTGGAATAATATATTAAAAAAATAGCATAAGATTTTTTATAATGTAATATATATGAAATGAAAAAATAATTAAAAAACAATACAAAAACACATTTGCGGTGCTATTAAAAAATTTTTTTGCCAATAGAGGTCTATCCCAAAAAAGTGCTCATTCACGTACGCTCTCAGTCGTCTAACCAGCAGAGCTCCTCTTACCAAAAAACCACACTTGCCTAACCATCCTTCCCCCGTCTTACAACCTGCACGTTCGTGTAGCCGGCAAAAATTATATGCATGTTCAAGTGGACAGTGTTTTGGGATCTGCGACTAGGGTCATCACTCATCATATCAGCTTTTTCCTGTTTTGACCAGAAAGCTATGGTCTACTTATTTATTTTATGGCATCGATAATATTTTTATAATTTAATCTGTCTTAATTTAAAAAAAAATCTAAAAAAATTGTGTATAAAAATTTGATTAAATTAAAAGAATACTTTAATATCTCCTTTAAATTATTTTTTTATTATAAGTGAAGTTCGAACCCCTCGATTTATAGTTTAAAAGGAGAGATTTAGTCCCTTTTTTGCGGCGGCCGGCCATGAATTCAGTGGTTCTAATGGCAATACTTGAACGGAGCCAACGGTCATGTAATTATTGTTGCATTCCAGGACAGGTGCCCAACGCTGCAGCCTTTGCTGCTATCTTGTCCAATCTTATTTTTGACAGATAGTTGCATTGGGCTACAAGGTTCAGTCCAAACACTTACTCTTGGCAAGTACAATGTACCATAATCAGCCCAAGCCAATTCACATGCAGCAAGCAACCTTAAATAGTAAGCCTATTAAAATGTCACATTAACCATGTTGCTTTCTATCCAGCCTATAATTTTCTGCAACCCCATCTCCACCCCCCACCAACTAAAAAGAAAAAGAAAAAAGAATTATCTAACTAAATTTACCCCCTTTTCAATATATGTATGTATGTATGTATGTATTACAACTACACAATTAAAAATGATGGAGAATGAGGGTTTTTTCATCTTAGGAAAAAAAGAAAAAGAAAAAGACGAGGACAATGAAGAGTTGCTGTACTGTTATAGATGGTGACATGAAGTATACACACACACATTACACAAAATCAAAACCAAATTGACATAACCATAATCTATGAGTGCAGAAGAGCAAATCTGCAGGCTAAATATATATAGCACAAGACTCTGATTTTCAAATTTCATACAGCTCAATTTGCTCTCCTCATTTTACTATTTAAAGGGACTTCTTTATAGGATTGAACCTTCTCAGCTGCCTTTCTTAATGGTCTTCCACCAATTGAGGTTCTTTCTGGTCGTCTAGATTTAAGTTCAGCACCATGTTGCTTATCATCTTTACAGTCTTTGTAAGTAAAAGGTGATGAAGCTGGTCCAAAATCAGTCGGTACGCCAGCAGTTGGCAGCATCACGTCCTCTAGTTCGAACAAGTTTTCTTTGTTTTCCTGCTGTTGCATTTTGGAACTAGCTGACTGCCTCCTTAAACAGAGCCTGCAGCAAGAATGTAGAATAGAGATTAGAAAAAGCCATCTTCTTATGTGCAAAGGCTGATAACTGTTTAGATAAGATATTGAAATGATCGTTAAAATGCAACAGATGGCCACAGGGGTACGGATTCTAAGGAGAGCTGGAAGCTTAGGGATAATTTCACCCCACAGCTTATCTGCCTAGAACTTTCAAGATGTGATTTTTCAGTCACAAATGCATAATCATACAGGGCGAGGACTTGAACCTCTTGTTTTCTGCTGCCTCCTTTGCTGCAACTTGATGGGATACAGTTGTACAATGGCCTACGGCTGCAAAAGCACAGACAAGTCACAAACTTGAATAACTAAAATGCATACATAAGCAGGCAACAAAATCATATGTATTAGGCACTTACATCTACTTCTTGTGAAGCGGGGCCTTCTGTTCTTGCTATTATCATGTTTGGTTTCTTCTGCAGGAGTCAGCTCTCTCTCCTGAAGCCAGCAAGTGACATAAACTGATTACTACAATGACTTACTGATTGGTGAAAATGGTAGTTACGAACCCTATTATCTTCCTGCCTTTAATCGTTCTCAATTTAATTTCAGAGTAATACATAGATCAAACTCAGCTATGACAACACATAATTGTTATTTTGATCAAGTTTAAACAGTAAAGTCCAACTTTTCCACTCGGTTACGTCCTTCAAAAGCATGAACACGAGAGATAATGGAAAATCTCTTCCATGAACGTCTGAGAAAATGCAATCACAAATTTGTTTTAACTTTTAGATGCACCTTCAAGTGTCCTACTTGAAGCTCTCCCAATTGTCACTCGTCCATAATATAGGCATGTGAATTAGCAAAAATAATTCCATAAGAATGCTAAGTATGGTCTTCAAATGCATTATTAGATCAGACACCAGATACGCTAAATTATGGCCTCCTACCATATGCCTTTCTCGTGATAAAATTGCTAAGCTCTGATCTTCTAATTAATGCAAAAGATATTTTAAGCTGTGTTGAGATTCTCTTAGTCATTGTGAAACTTCAAATATGAGCTGAAAAAGTCACACAATTTCTCTTGAAAAAGGAGAAAATCTAGCTTCGCTGTGCAATATCCAGCTTCGGAGGGGAAATGCTTATTCATGTACCGATCAGTGAACATCTGAAACCAAAGATTCTACTGAAACTAAAGGAATCCCTTCTGATTGAAAAAAACTTGCCTTGATTTCCAAACTCCTTGATTTAAGAAGTGCCTCCTTGCAGGAAATCTCGTGCTGTAGGGTCATCATCTGGAACAAGATAAATTTTCTAAGACCACTCCTTCAAGAAATGAGCAGAATTCGTTAACTACTATTGCAATAAGAAGAGCTAACCTTTTCTTTCCCGAAATTAAGTTCCTGCACAATCAGAAGATTAGACACGTTATAGAGGACAATGGCAAAATTTTCTTGTAGAGTATTAAAAGGACTAACTTTAGAACTGATGGAAAAGAAACTAACCGCTATCATAACACTATTGGCTTGAGCAAGATTCCAATTCTGCATTTGCATCTTCTGAAGATTGATTCTGAGTTTTTGGAGCTCAATTCCATTCAATTCAATCACCTTACTGTAATTAGATTCCAGAAATAAGTTCTAGGGAAACTGCCGAGCATACTTTTTATCACAACACAAAAACAACAATTAAAGCGTACTTTTTATCTTGAATAAGCTTGACCAGTGCCATATTTTCCTGTTCCAAACATCCAAATACAAACAAATTATAAAAAATAATAACCAAGTACAACGAACACCAGCAGAAGTAAATATGACCAAGAAAAACTTTACCTTGGCAAGATGATCAATATATTCCTTAGAAGAAGGATCCAAGGAGGGCTTTTCTACATTGCTTGGAGATCTAGGCTGTGGAGCAGAATTGGTAATATCTGACAATCTTCTCCTGACGACGCTCCCAAAAGAAGACCTCTTTGCCATTCTATCCCCTTTCATTGTGTACCAAATAAAACCTCGAAGTGACCTTAAACCTTAAATTACACCAAAACTTCAATTTTGTGAAAATCAAGTTTGTGTTCAACAGACAAGTTCAAGATTTAAAACCCAGAAAATTTTTGGAACAGAAATCATAAAATGTTTAAGATTAAAGTTTATTTTCAAATCACCCGGAGCCCCAGAAGTAAAAATAAAAAAGGGACAAGAAATAAGAAAAATGGTATTCTGGGATTTCTGATTGTGTAATAAAATTACCAAATCAATGAATGAATGTGGTGTATGTATATATATATAGATTGATAAAGTTTTTTCTATAGAAATAGAATCAGAAGGGAGAATTCTTGAACACACTTGTCTGTAAAGAAGTATGAAGCAAGAATTTCCCTTTAACTTTCCTACCAAAGATTTAATCGTTCCCTCTGAAACAGAAGGAATCAGTAGACAAAATGATACGAGAGAATTGAAATTAAAGGGAGCAAAAGAAAAAGATTGAGAAAGCGCCAAAGATGCAATACAGTACTGTAGCAAGCACTGAAAAAAATTGAAAAGGCACAGTTTTGGGAAAGTGAGCGGAGGTTCGGATCGCCAACGGCTGTCCGAAGCTAAAGGGTGGTTGGCACGGATCCGAGCCTCTTACTTTTAAAAGTTGCTACTTGCCAGAGCGCTTTCTCCGAACCCTGAGCCTATGTTAACCCGTTTTTCAAACTTTAAAATTGAAGAAAGGAGTTCTAAAAATTTTACACTACTTTGTTAAGATTGGCTTTGAAAGGTGTGCAAAATCCTAAAAATGATTTGCAACTAAACTGATCCTAATGATTTGAATGTTATTTATTACGAAAAAGATAGATTTACATATTTTACACTTCCATAGTTGGTCTATAACTATTTACATATTTTACACTTACATATTTTACACTTCCATAGATTTTACGAAAATGTTTTTTTTTTGTTTTAATTTTAGCATCAATAATTTTAGATTTACAATTCAGGATTATCAATTGTAACTCGATGATGGCACAAGGCAAATGCCCATCTTAATCTTCATTTAACATTGCAGAACTAATGTGAAAACAAAACACGCCAAGCTAGTAAAAGAAAATATTGACTTCATTCTTGATTTGCACTGTACATCATTCATTCTTCAACATCTCGCCAAAAAATTGTTGACAATCACCCGACATGTATAGTTCAGAAGATTACGAGAACAGTGAAGCAAAAAATCTAGCAAGTTCACAGGACTACTTCTGCCCAGTCACCCCGAGACACAGTTTGTTAATCTCCAGGTCTGATATTGCCAACATTTACACAAAAAAGACTTGCTTACAGGCAAAATGGCTGGGACATCATCATACTTCACCGGACATCCAAAAGGGCAGCTATCTTTGCCTTCCATAAACACTCTTCAAGCACCGATCCATAGGAAACAGTTAAGTGTCCAAAATAACCATGATGACAACGAAAATGGTATTACTTGGCTTTGAGTAACTCTAGTGCTGGAAGGAGTCACAGCTGAGTATCGTCTGAACTAAACAAGCCAAATCCCCTGTTGGCTGCTTCGCGAGTTAGAACAGCCTTGGACTCGTCACTGAATAAAGACAAATTATACGCCAGATGTTCTTATTCTGGCTGTATTAAGTAAAGCAGATGAGAAGAGTTCCCAGAACAATACCTAGCGGCTCAAGGAAGGCCTACCTTAATCATCTACTTGAAGTTCCTTGAAGAAGATATGTAGCTTTACACCGGACCTGCAATATCAATATATTTTCAGTACTACTTATAAATTTATTAAGAAATGAGAGAGAACATCAAGTTCTTACCTTTGAAGCAAAGGGCCTCAGATCCGTACTGGTAATTTGACAAGAACAGTTACGTAAACAGAGACCCACATTTCACGTAGGATCGGTTTGTCGTTCAACAGGGAGATCGAATAAAAGCCAATTTTCTGCCAAACTCAAGCCTATATACATCTTGAAAAGGTTACATTTGTTGTCTCTCACTGAGATCAGCAACCTCAAGATCTCTTCTGTTACCTTTAATGGAGTAACAAGATGAAAGCAGCAGAAATTCAGGACAATTGGTTGATAAACCACAGGGCAGCAAATAGGAACACCAGCAAGCAGTCATCAAGTTAAACAGCCTATTAGCTAGAAACCACATACTGCAAACTAATATTATAGACATATTACTATCTTGCTACTGGACAACCAATGGTATAAACAACTTGATTCAAACTACATCAAGGTAGAACGTGACCGCAAAAGGTAAATTAGCTAAGCAAAGCAGCACTAGAAAAGAATCAGTTAATCTTCTAAAGATTGACAGTTCTAGAACATACTTTCCACCAATCTGGGTAGAGCAACATAATACTTATTAAGTTTAGCAGCTTTCAGATTTTGTCACATTAATTTTAGTCGTATAGTGATCGTCAAAAAAGGCTAGGTTCTAAAATCTGTCTTAGTGTCAGAATCTGATGTCTTCTGTCAAAGCTAATGAATGCTTCAGCAAGGTTAGGTGCTCACATATAGTGAGTTACTAGGAAATAAAATTATTCTGAAGTAAAGTAGGAGAAAAGTCTAAAAAGGGCAGCTTATGTCCAACAATCAGCCAAGAAATGTATCTTCTATGATAACACACACACATTGTGCACAAAAGTACAAATGGTTGCAGACCATCAATTGATATAACAGTGATACCGACATCAAGTTGTACCTTAGCATCAAAGCATTTCACAAGAAATTGGAAAGCCACAGCACTTCTGAGGTGCTTACTACGCCCATCAATTGCTGAGATACTGTCTACAATTCTCAGGCAATTTACATCTGTAGGCAGTCTTCATTAAACAAAATCCATAGTAAGAAAAGATCAGCAAATTATCTGCAGCAAAAACTTGGTGAAGGAAACAAAAGGATGAAGAAGAAGGCTGACAATGGCTTTAAACATAGCAGATAATTTTGCTTAGCAGATCATCTAAAAGCATAAGAAAGAGCAATTCCAACATTCTCATGCACTTTCTCTGCCCAATGTTAACCTCCATCCACTTCACTCTCTCCAGAAAATGTCCACTTGATCATTACGTGTCTTATGTACAATCTCATGAACGATTGGTAGGTATCAGACTTGGATGTGGGATACAAATAAAGATAACCTAGAATTTTAAGTCATAGACTCATAAACAACATTCCCTTTTTGAGAATGCATTAGTCCTCTGGACAATTAATCACAAAATGTAAATTGAAGGTAACTTTGGTGTATTGTGACATGTCTCATGATTATAGAAATGATACATCTTAAAATATGTGCAAATTTATAATGCTCAAATAATCTGGGACAGGGAAGTAGCATTCTTGGAAGCTCATACTAAATGCATATATCCATAACTTCACAAACCTATCCACAAGCAGAAAGTTCCCATACTTGATATGAGTAATTAACACTTGTCACATACGAGACTTTTGGCCTTCTGTCTCATGATATGAGCAATTAGTTGTCACACTGACAACGCTTGTCGGATACAAAACTTTTGGCCTTCTGTCTCATAAAGAAACATGGATGGAATATCCTCTTGATTTACCATATCAAACTCAACCAAGTCAGGAACAATACTTATGCACCTTTAAATCTCTCATTTTGTTTCGTCTATGCCCATTATTAAGGATAATTCCAAGTACAGTTTTCTAAAATTCCTATATGATAACCAAAGAGACAGACAAATGACAAGGAAAGGCACCAGATAAAGCAGACATACTAATTCTCTAATTAATGCAGAAGGGACTAAAACATTATAAGCATCTAGAAAACCTTAATGCAAGGCATTTTGCTATTTGGTGACAGCTTGCTTGCCATTCATCATCTTTGAAGTAACTAATAGCTGCAACCAGACACTCATGTAGAACCACGGAGAGGCCCAACATTACGCGATCTAGACACATAGTGATAATTATATATGTCAAATCCTCTGCCTCTGATGAAGATAAGATTTGCCATGTGTTCCTACAAAAGATAAGTACAGTCAAACCAGTAGAAGATTTGCAGTACTTAATATGAGGATTCTCTATATAGCTGAAACATTAGAAGCAGCGAAAAATTCAGTTAGGTCATACCTTACTTGGAAGCAAACTCTAACATATTTAATCCAGTATTGAATATTCTGAGGCGGTCCTGGACAATCAGAATCTGAAAAGAATCGAAAGAATGCAAACAAAAAAGGTTACAAATTCTTAAGTTACTACCTTGTTGAATGAAATCAAAGAAAAACAACCCTATGACCTAAAATCTGTTTTTCAGTTAAGCATTTAACACTAGCATAAAATCCACAGAATAGCTTAGCCTGGAATTTTTACTTTTGTTTATTTATTTTTATTCACTTTAACAAGACAAGCATGAACTTAAAGACTGAAATTGATAAGGAAAATGCAGGATAAATTTCAATATGTGGCTAAATTAGTATTCCCCATATCTATGGTCCTTAGCATCCTTGTGCTCTTGGTGTCTCTTTTCATTTTTTTCCCCTTCTCTCACAAGGGAAATCATTTCAAAAGAACTGTCTTTAGACAAGTTTCTTATTCTACACTGTTGAGACTACACATGGCCACAACAACTGGTAAGGTCAGAGCAGTGTCCTGAAAAGCACCAGTTTTCAGTGTATCTGAAGCATGTTTTGGAAGAGAAAATTAAACGCCAAAGCTAAGCTTTGTTTGACAGGCCATACAGTAGAAAGTTGTGACACCCATTAAAGGGTTTTTCCCACGCCACAGGTACTTTACCATACTCTGAATTCCATGGTTTTAATAAGCTCCCTATAGTATTATTATTCAGTAAAGGTAATTATACATTCTCTCAAGAGGATTACCCACTTAAAACAGAAGATATGCGAATACAATTTCTAGAACTAAAGCATTGAAGATGTAGATTTTCAACCTGCAGCGAACCATCTCAACATCAGACGATGACTTCGAAGAAGAATCCAATTGAAAGCCATATACTTCAAGCGCTTTTTTTAGTTCAGAATGGCTAGGTACCCGTACCAACTTGATACTCGAATGGTCCGGCTGATTAATAACGAAGACATTTAATACAGTTCCAGACAAAAGAAAGACAGTCATGTTTGTCTGCATGTAGAAAACTTGACTAGTGCGCCATGAAACAGAAAAGAAGCAACCTTGTTTTTGTGCAGAAGGATGCTACACCATAAGTCACATGCACTTCTTCTCAGCACATCCTTTGATGAATACAACACTGCATAAGGGAACTGAAAATTGTTAAATTCAATGTAAATAGCACTGCAACCTGATCTCTTCAGAAGAAACTCTCACTTACTGAGATTGAACGTCCATGTTGCTATGGAATCCTCCAACTGACCACTTATAAAAACCAACTTCAAAAGCCACCCATTTGTTAGTAATCCTTCAAGAAAAGTTTCTCCTGCAATACCATTACAGGAAGTAATGAATTTTGACATCCAATGTAAACTGCTTATTGCATTAGAAAATTGTTCCTAGTGCAATTCAAGCTAGCTTGAAATTTTAAACTGAGTGGAATATAAACAGTAGCTCTAGTAAAACTAATCTAGAGTAAGATCATCTAAAAGTGAGTATAAGAAAGCAACAAGGAAGACCTTTCTCCATTTCGAGTTCAACCATAGAATTCAGTTTGTGATTTTGGAAAGACTGTAAAAGTTCACAACTATCAATTTCAGCAAACCGCACAGGAGACAGCACTTCCTGCAGCTTTCACGAAAAGAAATGACATCACAAGTTATACTGAAAGGTTGCCAACCAAACTGTCACGCTATGAAAAAGAATTTCAATTAAACATGGAAAGTTCACCTGATTTCCAAAAACTTGAAAACCCCAAAAATGTGTGTCATCATCATTGCTTATTTGACCCATCTACAGAACAGAAGATCATGCTTAATAACACTCCAAACTAGACAGACTCTCGACCTCAATGTAGTAACAAAATTGACCTAAACTAGTCCACATGACAACACCAAAAAATTGACGCTTTACGGTTATCCGAGTAGCAGGTACACCACACAAACCATAACTGATTTCACGAGCCATTCGCAGTTTCACAGTTGAGGCTTAATCTTTGAGAAATTTAAGAGACACTAAACATAAAATTCGTGCTTGTAGTTGAGATAAATAAAAAATAAGAGCTGTGAAGAAAAAACTCAAGACTCAAGAGGGCAAGCAAAATTCAACTAGGTTAACACAACAATTCCATCACTCATCTTAATTAAAATAAAAGGTAAATGAGAAGGTGTAAATTTACATCTTTTTGGAACTCATCAACATGATCCTCAAACTCTTTTACTTGTCTAGCATCTTCTTCATCCAAATCATCATCAGAATCACATATCTGCTTTTCAGACTTGGCCCTTTTGGATTCCCTTTCAATAACCTTGCTTTTCTCCTGATAATAATCTGCTACAAGGTCATCCAAGCCTATGACCTTTTTCCTGCCCAAAATTTAACATTAAAATTCAAGATTCAACCGAAATTGCAGTTACGAGTTATGACAATCGTAAGTTTGCAATTTTAAAAGAAGAAGAAGAGAAAAAGGTTTACTTTTTCTTGGTTATGGCGGCAGGAACCTTGCTGGGCTCCTCGAATTCGAAGTCCAAATAATCACCAATGTCCTCCATATCTCGTTCTTCCGCAACACACAGTTGGTCTGTCTAAGGCAAATGTATAAACAGATAAATGGTTTCCCTTTATTTTCCTCCAAAAACTATTAACTGTCGGAGGCGCCAAAATTCATCACAACCCCAAGTACCGGAGGAAAGGCGCGGCAAGGAAAGTATATTAAGTAGTAATTTTGTTTTGTTTGTTTTTTTTATCATTTTCTGGGGAGCCGGCTTGGCTGGGCCTAGTCTGCTGCTTTTGGAACATTCAGATTGTTTTTGAGGCCCAATTTATTTCTGCTTATAGACCAGCTTCTTTTTTTTTTTTTTTTTTTTTGTGTTCTCCAAAAACCGTAAATCTTTTGGAAAAGAAAGGAAATAAGGGAAATTGAGAGCCAGATAATTGACCCATTAATGTTCCAACTAACTATTGGTCAAATGATCACTAGGGTCTTGGAAGGTCTTTAAGTCCTCTTGAAATTGTCTCCCTTCCTGGAATGTAAGAGTAGAGTAGGTATAGGTATAGGTATAAAATATTTACGACTCATAAATTTATCTTTCAATTAATTGGGTCTTAAGAATTCTAAAAAACAAAAAAAAACTTTGTTGTTGTTATGTAAAAAAAGAAGAAGAAGAAGAAGAAACTTACTTTTTCGTAATTTAATTTCTGTGGGATACATGATTATGATGTACACTTTGGAAGTTGAAATGTATTGAATGCTTATAGTATTGTGCTCAAGTTCCAAATTTGCTTGTGAAAATGGTGCCAATTACCTTCCATAATCCGCCTGGCCAACTACTTGCGGATTTTGAGACTGAAAAAATCGATGGACACACAACCTATTTGAGTAAAAATAGGTAAGAGCCTCCCAAATTCATGGTTGATTCCAAGCTCTTTTGAGAGCCTAGGAGATTGAGAGTGCTTTGATCATTGCCCCCAACTCCAAGGAAGCTTTTTATTATTTCTTGTGAGCATCTCCCAAAAAACCTGCATCCCATCTCCCAAGTACTGTATTGAGAACTATCCAGCTTCTTGCAGCAAATGCATTGCAAAGCATGAGACCATCTCACTTGCCATCCCAATCGATCGATAATAGTCTGATCTGATGGATGGTTTTTGGAGAGAGGCAGAAGAATGTCGGAAGAACTTAACGCTGAAATTTTAATGCCAATAATATTACCAAACAACCAACTTCCACAGTTCCTGCTTAACTAAGTAATAATGATCTTGGATCGTGTTTCATATGGCCAAAGGTGGCCATGAATATCAAATGTAGCATCTGATGATGAATGGCAAGAAGAAGAATTCCGTGTTCAGCAGCTTACTCTCCTAACATGGTCCAAAACCATGACTGCTTTCATCGTGGAATACGAGCACTGGGGTCCCTTTCGTTCTTTCTTTCCATAGTCAATAAATCTTAAAACGGTTACTATTTCTTGTGTTGAATTTTTAAAATATGAGATTAATTAAAAAAAATAAATAAACACAAGGGAGGGTGGATAAGACTAAATAAAAAAAAAATATATAAATGTAAAAGAAGATAATAGTTGTTTGTATGTGTATGTATATATAGTAAATTAGGTGAATATTAGGTGTGTTAACAAGTGCGCTAAAAGGCACTGTTAGAAAAAACCATCTTAAAAATGATGAATTTTTTATATTTTTCATTGTGTCATTTTGTGCCATAATTGCTGCTAGATTTAACATGTATGGATCACCTATATCATTTGCAAGTACTGGATTCAATTAAGTCCAAAATACAACTTTCTTAGTACTAGATTTAATCGAGAGTGAAATATTAAATAGACTTCCAAAGAGATTCTTGCAAAAAAAAAAAAAATCAAAAATAGAGAGTGAAATATTAAATAGACTTCCAAACAAGTTATAAATATTTATTGTTACGGAGGATTCAATACTAAATTCAAAAAACGGGTTTGGGTAACTGGGGCAAATAAACCAATCCGTTTGTGATCTTTTCTCTACTGGGTCCTGGCCACTGTCACCACCTCCACCTCCAACCTCCGCAAACACTACTCCTTTGCCGTATTCCCCCAAATCCACCACCACAACATTGCCCATTATTCGTTCCCTTAAACTTCCCAACTTGTTTTCGGTTGAAGTTTCACCAGCACGAGCAGATTGTCTTCCGCCGTCGCCATCGGAGTTTCCTTCAACTTCAACCCCTTTTTGTCGAGGTAGAAAATATAGCATGCTCATAAATCCTCTTTGTTGTCGTTTTGAAAGAACTGAAATTGAAATTGGGATCTAATTGCCCAAATAGATAGGAAAGCAGAGAGTTATCAATTCTAGGGTTTTTTTTAACTGCAATCTGAATTGCAGATTAATCCCTATTCTTTGGTGGTGTATGTTTAGTAGGTGAGAGATGGACTTTGAAAAGATAGAGACAGAAGTGAAGATTCATGTACAGAAATGGGTAGGAGAAGCTCAGTTATTGATTCAAAGGAAACCACCAGCTCAACTTTATGTCGCCGTTGCCGTAGTCGTGTTCACCATGCTTTTACTCATACTCAGTAATATCCTTTTCTTTTTGTGCTTTGCTTATTGGAATTTTCTGCTGTACTTTATTCTGCTACCCTAAAGTTATTTGTTGAATGAACTGTATCAATTTTCCTGCATGTTTATTACACGACGCCTTAACAATTAAAGGGTGTGACTTTAAAGCGCTGTTGTACTTGATGAGATTTGCAGTCTGCAAAACCGGTTAAATTGATCACAAACTAGGCAGTGGAACATGAAAGGCATATTTTCCTATTCTTGTAATTTAGGTTTAAAGGTTGAGCAAGTGGTGTTACGGATATATAGATCAAACTATTTATTTAAAATGCGAATGAATGCTATTTGGAGTTTTGATATGTGTAATTAGTCCTGGAAACTGTAGGTTTAAATTAGGGTGCAAGATGTAATCTATCTGGCGTGTCACCTACATAAAAGGTTTAGCAATGGTAACACTTTGGTTGACGATGAAATTTTCATTTTTCAGTTTTTTGCATGACAGCCGCATACTTATAAGTATTTGCTTAGTTAGAACCTTTTTTTATTCCCTTTAACCTGCCGATGGGGAGCGTATCTGCTGATTTAGAGTTGCTTCATTTATGTTTGTTGGTGTGCCCTATAGACCATCTTAGTTATGCTGAAAATGGTGTATGTTAATGATATTGCCAAATGTAGCTTTTCTGGTTCTGGTAAATGCATGGTGGAGTTACCATACAGTAGATTTCCATGACTTAGAGATTCAGAAGAAACTTTCATGTCTGTGGATACACATGTGTACATCTGAGCCCTGTGTGCGTGAGTGTGCTTATCATATATTTTCAATGTGCTGCATGCTGCTCTGATAATAATGTGCTCTTTTGGCCTATTTGATTTCTTTGAGGGCCACAAGTGTACCTTTATTTTAGTTTGAGTTAGATTTAACCATAACGGCTCATATCTTCAAAAGAGGAGATTGTGCCACATTTAACATTAATTTGTCTGTCTGGGCTACTGTAAATTGTCTCTGGTGAAGAGACGTTGTGTGAAGCATGAAATTGCAATTATGGATATGATTGAAACAAGGCATTTGATTTTGTTTTTAGTATTGCATTAGGTGAAACTAGATAGGCTCTTTGTGCGCACTTTTTTCAGTGAATAGTTTTTTCCAGCATGTAATAACTTCAAGTATATCGACTTACTCTGTGCAGAAAATTAAAAACTGATGCCTATCATTTGCTATGATAAATGCTTTTTTCCCACGTCTATGAGCATTGATTGATTGGAGGATGCATGTTTTCTTGTGATATTTATTACTTTTGAATGTTTCTTCCTGCACAGAAGCTAATGAAGTTTATACATATCTTGTTGATATTGCAGTTAAACTTTTCAAACGCAAAACATCTAATACCATTGTGCTCACTGGGCTCAGTGGAAGTGGAAAAACCATTCTCTTTTACCAAGTAAGAATTTAGTATAATTAGGGTGCCTGGTACCTCTTGGTGTTAAATTTCATTAACTTGATGTGTTTCACTATTGACATATTGTTCGTTGCCTTTATCAAAGCTCCGTGATGGCTCCTCTCATCTGGGTACTGTGACATCTATGGAACCTAATGAAGGCACCTTTGTACTGCACTCTGAGACAACAAGGTAACCTGCTTACGCCAGAAGCATGCATGAGCATAAAGAAACTTCAGATACATTTAGGACACTGGAGATGCTTGCTGCTGAGTTTTTACTGAGAAGATATCTGATCTTGTCAATAACACAAGAAAACACACCAGTTTATATTAACTTTTTTTCTATCCTTGTCAGCTCTTATTGCCCATTCTTATCTCAGGAATAGAAAATTCTCTAGGTCTAGATAATACAACACAGAAAGTGCTAAAGATATCATAATATCTGACTTGATAAACCATGAAAAATATGTGTCACCATCTCATTGGTGATAGTGAAGGTGCATGTAGACATGTTAGTTGTTCTCTCGTCAATAACATAAGATAGTTGACCTGTCATCTAGTAGATTCTCCAGTTAGATATTGTGAGATGGAATCATTTCAACACTATTTTCCAGTTGTAAGTTTTGAAGTGTCATTTAATGGAGATACTATCCTGGACTTGCAGAAGGGCAAGATAAAGCCTGTTCACATTGTTGATGTTCCTGGGCATTCTCGTCTTCGAGCCAAACTAGATGAGTTCTTGCCTCAAGCAGCTGGCGTTGTCTTTGTTGTTGATGCTGTGGAATTCCTACCTAACTGCCGTGCTGCCTCAGAGTAATTAAATCCGCCCTTGCGTTGTTTGTTCTTACCAGTGTTTATTCTAGATACCAATGTATTAGTATTTCTTATTTGGTATGTGCCCAGGTATCTCTATGAAGTTCTTACAGCTGCAAGTGTTGTAAAGAGGAAGATTCCACTTCTCATCCTCTGCAACAAGGTGGATAAAGTCACCGCACACACAAAGGATTTCATCAGAAAACAGCTGGAGAAAGAAATGTAAGCTCATCAAATCTGTTGTTTGGCTTTTTAATAATTAAATTCAAATTTTGTTCTGCGTAGCTTCTCTATGATTATTAGCTTTGGCTGTCAAAACCATCTCATGCACCAACTTGATCAAGTAGTTTCAGATTAATACATATATATATTATTTCTGTGCAATGTTTTGCATGCTGTTGCCTATTTTGATGTGACTAAG